AATGGACCGCTGCCATAGTTTGATTGACCTGCTCTTCGAGTTCTTTGGTCCTAAAGTCAAAAGAAAATGTCTTAGAAAAAGTGTGGTAATTATGAATGTTTGGCCAGATGAAGGAAGTCAATCCGAAAGAAACATATGCTTCATGGTATGACTCGGGAAAGAGATGACAGTTAAAGTTCGCCAATGTACATTCACGTGATTAATTGCTAAATTCTAAAAATTCATGTCTCTTATATGATTTTAAAACTGACATACAACTACATTTGTAGAACAAAGAAAAACAATTTCATAGAAAAACAACTATATTCTCCCTTGACCATGTAACTGATCTTCTGATAACCAACCTTAAGTAGACTAACAGAGTGTACGTGACTATTAATCATAGAGCTAAGAAGCAACATCCATGGAACCATGTAACAGATCTAGATGTTTTAATAATGTGTACTGCTTTCTTGTAGTGCATTAAATTGTCAAAAACTAAACACAACTCAAGGAAAAGACTACAGTGTAAGGCTTCAACACATACAAACTATAGAGACATGTCTTCACATATTCTATAGCTAAGTCGTATCACCCCCTAAAAAAGAACTTTTAAAGAATACCACACTCTACTTATTGCAGTAAAGTTTCCTACCAACACCCACAATTCTATCAAGAATTCCAACATGAATTTTCAGTGCACAGTAATTAACAAGTACAAAAATGAGTACTTTATTGAGAATTTACTAAAACTCACAGCATAAACTCCACAATGCAAAATCACTGAAATCCGCCAAATAAAACAGTCCTAAAGTCTTGCAAATTGAACTTTACTCAACATGCTTTTCCTATGTAACCCCCATTAACAAATGAGATCTACAGAGAACCCCAATCCTAAGTCCTAACAGATCCAAAGGCTCAACAGATTATGCCGCATATATGCTGGAGGATTACCGCAAAGGGGTTAACTTCGTCTTCTTCTCCGTCATCGAACGGATTATTACAATGGCCAGCCATCAGAATGAGTCAGCACAATAGCAATAGCAAGAGTCTGAAATGCACCAGCTTTTCAGAAAACACTAGCCGGAAGGATGATCCGAGGAATAGAATGCCCGGAATTTTAACAGACTTCTTTATAAATAAGAATTGAGAAATGGGTATAAATTGTATAACGTGGCTGAATTACTGGAGATTGATATTCTTTTATTTGGATTATTAGAAAGACGAGGGATTGTGTTTAGGAAGATCGACGGGTTATTACCAATTCAAAAAGGCGAGAGTTTCTAATCATCAAGAGAAAAATAATTAATCTTCAATAACATGCAATCGCAATTTAGTGGGAAAAATTGCGCGCTGGGCTGTATATAGGTTCGCCAGTAGCTCATGTCGAGCTTAACTGCTTGCAGTTAAGGACCATTTTCAAAAGAAATGATTGGATGACTTGCTTAGATAGTTAGATGAACTTTATTGTTCTTTTCCTTTCTTTATTATCGTTTTCGAAAAAAATATGGTCTTTCTATGGTACCTCTATTAATTAGAAGTGTACCGTACATTTTCCTAGATGGACCACTAAAAACACTACGTGTGGTCGTATGGATATGTTAAAACTGCACAAAATAATTTAAAGTATTTGCACAAACGGCTCTGGTTTTTTACGGTGCAACTGCGGCGCTCTTTAACTATGAATTTTACGAATGAACCCAGCATTCTCAAGTCTAATTCGTATGTTGATCGCCTCTTCATTACATTCGGTTTGGATTGTACTAGTATTTGATTGAGCCAACGTTTTCCACCTTCATCACTTTTTTCTAAGTGGAATTTGAACCTTGCCCTAATTAAATCCTTAAATAAATTTTGTTTAAGGATTCTATATTATATTACTCGATAGTAATTTAAAGGAAGGAGTGAATGACCATAAAGCAAATACTTCCTACTTATCAGTTATCCGTATATGTTTAATTTCCACGTGTTGTGATCGTATTTGCCCAGATAAGCAAATGTACCGTACTCTAAAAATTAATTCATGCACCGTAGAATTTTCCACACTTTACTTATTGTTCTTTGTATAGTTACTAGCGGGCATAGGTAGGGAGTGCCACAAGGGTTAGGTCCCGGGTTCGAATCTCGACAACTGTGATGAGAGGTTACTATACTAAAAATGCATAGGTTATAGTCCAATTTACATCATCCCATTGTACTGTCCGGTCGGTGTTGGGGGCCCTCAGGGATGGGGGGTCATCCTTTTTTATTATCGTTTTCGGTTTCTATTTCTATGATCCTCCTTTCCCTGTCTTTCTCCTCTTTTCCGTTGTCTTGGGAGGAAAGAATAACACTCTGTTGTCTTTTCTTTTAGTTGCCCATTATTTCCTTTTTTTGGAATAAAGCGGTTTATATCGATAATAAAGCATTCACTAAGGGACAAAAGAGATAAAGGAAACACTTTCAGTCATCGACCCTTGAACCAACCTGAGAACCAATCACCCTAGACAGAACAATATCATTCGTTGATCCTGTAATGGGTCTAAATGAGCCTAACGTGGCCAGAGCAAAACCTTCATCACCCCTACCTGATGTAAAAGTCTGACAGAAATAAGCGTACGAGGCAAACAAAACAACATGACGTTCAAAGTAAAAACCCAAACAGACTAAAACAAAAAAAAAAGACAGCCTTCCAAACCCTAGTCGCACAATTCCTCCATGACGGCGGTTCAGGAGGGTGACAAATCACCATCTCCTCACCTCCCTTCACGGCTTCACCCATACAGGATCAGCCGCGGAACGCTCGTCATCCTCGCCATGGTTCCTTTCGATCAACTGTGGGAGCCATGGTTCCTTCCGATCGCCGAGGAGGGAGATGCCGTCGTCCCACTCTTGCTCCTTCCTTTGCGATACCAGCCCGCGAAAACATCTGCAACGCCTTCTCAATGATTCCACTTCCATCTCCTTTGCTCGCCATCGTCCGGGGACTCCCCTTCTTGCTCGCTACGTCACAAACCACTGGCTCATGCCAAATCCGCCGGACAAAACTGCTAGGGATAAACCCTAGATGGCTGCCGTTTCTAGAGAGAGAAGCTCTCATGCCCTCATCGTATTTACGGAGGGAGTACTTTATCTGCCCATTATTTCCTTTAAGAAGGATTAATAAATAGATATTAATTCCTTTCAAAAAAATAAATAGAGATTAATTCCTTTCAAAAAAAATAAGTAGAGATTAATTAAGTCGTATTTTTGTTCACTATTATTATTTTAGAAGTTCGTATGCCATACAATCAGTTGTAGGGTGAATACTATATAACTAGTGAGATTTCGTAATATAAGTGAAAATCGTGACTTTCGTTAAATGAGCAATAATGTAGTTTTAGTGTGCATCAGATCTATTCTACTGAGTATTGAGAGTCTAACAATAAGCATCGTGATAATCATATCTTATAATTTACATTTTTTTCAAATATCTACAATGAACGCAATTGAACCCGTATGAATACAATATGTGAATTTAATGTAATATTATACTTTTAAAATATGCATGAATATGCCATTTTAAAATGGGTATATCATCAATATCAAATAAATTATGAAATGAGTATCGGAAAAAATAAAAAAGTTCATTTAAAATCTCTACCATACTCAAATTTTTGTTTGTGTAGCTTAGGTTCCTCCTAACTTGTGGTAAACGAGAGACCAAACTCATGAAACGCGTAAAAAACAAAAAAACAAAAAGGGAAATAGTGGAGAGGGAGAGAGAGAGAGAGAGAGGTAACTAGCATCGGAGTATACACTCAAAATGCTCTTTAATTTTTAAATGAGAATATTACCCGAAATAGGACTAAATAAGTTTGAAAATTCCAAAATAGGACTGTCATGTTTTTATTCCCAAAATAGGAGTACTTACTGCCAAGTTTGGAAAATACTGTCATGTGTGAAATATGGTACTGCCAAAACATGCTGGAGATCGAGGTGTTGCGTTCGTGCTCGAGGAGAAGAGATCATTGCGAGTGTCGAGTCATCCATCTTTGTACAATGAGCGATGGGCGAGCATCGGGCGAAGTGTGAATGGCGATCAATCAAAGTGCGAAGTGCGAATGGTGATCGAAGCGACAAGCGGCAACTAAAAGCCTACAGGATGTATCATGCGCACAGTACAGTCGGGTGTACGAACTAATTTTATCTTATTTTAATTAGTTTTATATTTGTCATTATTTGTAATTAATAATAATTTACTCTGTAATGATACCTATTTTAATTCATTTTTATTTAAGTTCTTCTTCTTTTTATTTTTATTCTTATATTTTTATCCTCCCATCCACGATTTTAAAATTTGTCATCTAATTCCCACTATTTTAATATTCCTATCAATTTTATTTGATGAGTAATATGGTTAAAATAAGGGATGTTAACAAAAATAACCTTTACTTACATGCATTTAACAAAAATAATAATCTTTGCTGAAATGGATCACAACAATATAATAATCTCACTAGTTTTATACTAAACCAAAACGAATCAAGAGTGTTTTTTGTTGTGCAACAAACTAAGAGTTAACGGTGCTAGTTTATATATTTTATTTTAAATATAATGAAGCAAAAATATATATAAGCATTAACAATAGAAAGAATTACATATATGATACTACGTAAAATTCTTTAGAAAGAATTACATATTTATAACTAAAATAAAGTTTTTTAACAAAAATATGACTAATGGTTATATTAGTAACTTTTTTTTACTCCAGAGGGTCTGGGGGGCTGGAGTAATTAGGGATGAAATTCATCCCATTGAGTTTCAAACCCTTTATGTGCCTAGCAGGTTTCTAACTTGAAACCTCTCACTAGACACGGTAACCTCACAACCAGCTGAGTTAGAATGCTTAGTTATGATTATATTAGTAACTTAGTCATAGTAACTTTTGCTCAAATTTTAAACGCATGCACCAATAACACTATATCCTAGTAACTATTAATCATATTTGTGTAAATAAGTTTTAATGTAGTAATATATTTGAAAAAATCTCTTAAAGACATTATATTGAAGCTTAAAATAATTTATGCTATAAATAAATTTAATATTCAATATTTTTCATAAAATATAGTAGAAATATTTGAACATGCTCATCAAATTCTCTTTTATCTTTTATTTCTTATCAATATCTATTTATATCCAATTGTGTTTTTCATTATTATAGAGATTTCACAAGTATTTTAATACTACTACATTAAATATTAATACAAAGTTGTACTTTCATCCCATAAGATTCTTCCTGATTTGACTGGATTGAAGCTTAAGAAAGTGGGAATAAAGTGAAAATGTATGGTTGTGATTGAATAAGAAAAAAGTAAATAAATGTTAACCACACAAACCTTTCAAAAAAATGAGAAGAATTTTTTGAGACATCTTAGAATGGTAAGTGAAAAGAATTTTAAGGGACAAAGGGAGTACATGATAATGAGCTATAACTTAGTCAAATTTTATACTCCCTCCGTTCCCTAATTAAATTCACAGTTTGTCTTTTAATTTGTGTAATACTTTGTTAACTTTGAATAGTTAACTTTGAGGTTAAATATTCAAAGATGATATTATTTTATAATACTAAAATAATTTTGAATGCTTCATTTGTGTATATATTATTGAAATATTAGTTTATTATAAGTTTTATAAGTGTACATATTAATACTTCCTCAGTCCCTATTTAAAGTTCCCACTTTGACATGCACTCATGCATATTAAGCAAATGACATTATTTTGCACTATTTTGTTTACCAAATAAAGAAATATGACTTTATTCAGGAACATCCAAAAAAGAAAAGTAAAAACTTTGAATATGAATGGAGGTAGTATGTCAATGGTCAAACATTGTTGTTGGGATTATTTTTGTAAAGTGTGTGATAGTAAAGATTATTGGTGTTAATTTTGCCTTAAAATAAATAGAATACATAAACATGACTATTTATACTTCAATGTCTATAAGAGTAATTTTGGTAATCATCACAATGTTAAATTTTACATCATAATGACTATTGAGCCATTCATAATAACTTCGGTCATAATTTTATCCACGCCTCTTTTTTCAATACTACAATAATAACATTCAAGCCTTAATCCCAAAAGAATTTGGGGTCGACTAACATGAATTGATCTATAATATCGTTGCCAAACACAGAAGACAGACAAGAAAGAAAAAACAAAAAAGATGATAAAATACCAAAAAAAAATACGGAGTATAAGATAACAATACCAAAAGAATATAAGAAAGATAAAAGAACATAAAAAAGCTAGAAGATAAAAATAACATTAGAATATAAAAAGATAAAGATAAATCATACTCCCTCCGTCCCCGTATGTTTGTCCCAGTTTACCATTTTGGGGTGTCCCAATTTGTTTGTCCCATACTATTTTTGGAAATATTTGGGTGGTTACAATTCATTCTTACTTTATTCACACTTTATCAACTCAACACCCACCACACAATTCCACTTTTTCTTAAAATTTGTGCCACACTCCTTTGTCCCAAACATTATGGGACGGAGGGAGTAATAGAGAAGAGAAAGAAAAAAACGATAATAGAGAAGAGAGAGGAAATGTACAAAAGACATCAATCGTCCATACGGATGTGTGCCCTCCACTTTACACTCTCCAAATCAATACTCTCATCCAATCCAAGAATATGCTTGTCAGTTATGATTCCTATAATCCAAGTTTGTTTGGGTCTTCTCTGCCTCTTCTCCCCGCCCCTCAAGACAATACAACCAGAGTCGTGCTTCCTTTGAGGCGGGTGAGGCATGGGCCTCAGAGCCCCAAAAATGTTACAATTTTAGGGGCCCAAACTTTAAGATATTTTTATAGTATACATATGTAGAAAACTTATCTGGTCAGGCGCGCCCGACCATAAATTCTTGAAACGTACCGCACATTCTGCACATTCTGATCATAAAGTTGTGGTGTGAATTGTGATTTTTTGTGTTAGAGACTTGAGAAGTAGTTTGTGATTGAATTTAACACTTAACTATTAATAATATTCATATACATACGTAGTATGAAATATGCTAACTATTAATAAGTATTCATGTTTTTAGCTTTTAAACTTGTAAAGCCAATGATCTTGTATATATTATGAGACTTGAAGTCAGAGAGCTTTTGGCCGAAATTGAATTGGATATCAAGAATTGAAAACTTTTTTTTATTTAAGTTGTTCCTTTTTTAGATATTTAAATATTAAATTTTGAACATGTCAAATAGTATAATATGGTGACAAGAATCAAGATTTATTATTGAGCACATTATACTACAAAAATTACATGTACGGACCTTTTTAGTAAGTTCGACTCAGGCCCGAATTTAGGTAGGATCGGCACTGAATATGGCATCTTGGGAGGCGCTAGTCGCCTATGACGCCTAAGGTTTAATTTTGATTGTACCGCCGCCCTACGCCTTGGGATTAGGATGTAGTGGCTTGTTTCTTGGCTTTGGAGTCTAGATTGATATGGAAGGTGCACCAATGACCAGACGAAGATGACATCTAGATGTGAGCGGATTTTAGGTATGAGAGATTTGCAAATTCCTTTTTCATATCTAGCATATCAGGGCACACAGATCGTTTTTGCCCTTCAAATACTTGCTCGGGACCTTGGATTGGAGAAAAGCCATATATGGTTTCTGAAGAGAGGGGGTGTGTATCTAGTGAATAGGTGTTTGATCTCCAACGGAAGCAGGACAACCACAAATCCAGAGGAATCAGGAAGCTAATTAGTTGAAGGTCTACTATGTAAGGGCAAGGCAATATCTGATGATCAAGAGGGTGAACTATGAAAGCGTAGAGTGATAGAGTCGATAGCTGGAGAGGGTTTTGAAGGAAGTGTGGAAGTGGATGGTGAGGATCCAAAAAACATGCAGGTGGCGATGCTTTATGGATGGCATCACCTAGCTCAATGATGAAGGTCTGAAAAAAAATTGAGAAGGGGTGAGGGGGAGCACACCTCAGTACCTTGAGTAGGCATGACAATGGGTCGGGGGCCTCGGGGCGGAACGGTACTGCAAGACCTAGACCCGTCCCGTGACTTGGCGGGCGGGTCTGCCCCGCCCCGTGACCTGCACGGGTCCAAACTTGTTGACCCACTCCGCCCCGCCCCGCCCCGCCGTAACCTAATTAGCTAGTACGAAGTATGTATTTTTATTTGTGGGAAGTTGTTACCAATTGAATCTACATAAAGTTTATCTCTAAATAATAATTAAAAATTAATATATTTAATCAAATTCTTGATACCCTAAAAATTTCAAAAATTAAGGAAAAATTACTCAGACTTGAATAGTTAATCTATTTAATTATACTAATAGTCTAATAATTGAACATATGTATTAAAATGCTATATATAAAGAAGACATGCATTGATAATCTGCCGTTCATCTCATTCTAATATGTATTAATATATTATAAGATCAAAGAATTTATTATTTATTGTAAACACACATATGTATGTTGAAGTATATTTGTAGTATAATTTAAGAAAAATTATGTATGCGTATGTATTGAGCGGGTCGGGGCGGGGCGTGTCGGGGCGGCACGGGTCGATACTAATACCCGGAGCCGCCCCATTGTCTAGGCGGGGCGGGGCGGACCCGCCCCATTTGGAAGACAGGGCAGGCCAGACCCGCCCCAAATGTCTCGAACCAGGGTGGGTCACTCCGGGTCGAGTTTTTTGACATCCCTAACCTTAAGCGAGGGCTGACCAAATTGCGAATTCCTTTCGAGAGGATGAAAAACCGAATCTTTATTTCCTCGTTGTTTTTATTCTTATCAGGACAATTTCTTTAATTTATTTTGTACTTTAAGTAGTAGGATTAACTATTTAATATATACACAGGTACAATTACATACAGATAGGCCCTTTAAGTAATTTTTATTAAGTAACATACACTTTAAGTAGCAAACTAAAGGATAAATTAAAAACATGACTAAAGGTCAAATAGGTCCTTATTCTTACCAGGACAAATTCATAGAGATTAAATGTAAGTATAATACTGTGTGACGAAATAAAGATGATGTAAATATTATTCTATATGTTCCATTTTATATGTCTTACTTTCAATTTTATATTGTTTCAAAAATAATATGTTGTTTCATCTTTATTCAATTTCAACCACTTTACTAATAATTATGTTAAACCAAAATGAGACATACATAGTGGGAGACAGATAGTAGCATTAAGGATGTTTTTACTTGGACTGTAATTTGCTGGTCTGGTCTGGTCTGGTCTGGTCTGATCTGGTCTGGTCTGAACTGGTCTGGTCTGGTCTGGTCTGGTCTGATAAGGTCTGGTTTCTTTGTATTTTTATAACTATCCAAGTCTGGTCTGGTCTGAACTGGTCTGGTCTGGTCTGGTCTGGACTGATCTGGTCTGATATTGTCTGGGACAAATTACATTCCAAGTAAAAACATCCTAATAGCAACCAACCACTTTACTAATAATTGTGTTAAACCAAAACGAGACATACATTGTGGGGGGACAGATAGTAGGATTAATAGCAAGGGAAAAAGGGGATCTAAGTTTAGTAAAAGACGTTGGCGGCAAAATTGTGTCATGACTAAAGAACGTTTAAATGTTTGATGCATATCTAGTAATAGTGAATGTTGTAAAAACCGGACCGGTGAGCGACCCGGTCATGTGATTGGGTCACGGGTCAACCTGGACCCGGAGGGTCAACCCGGTCAAAGCCGGAAAACCGATCAACGATTATACGTCTATATAATAATAATAAACATATAATTATATACACTCTCATTATATATTTTTATTTGTATTGTACATTTATATTATAATTTGGCATGATTTTCATTCTTAAATAAATATATAAATATATTACATAGTTTTTCTTTTTAGGGAATTGAAATTGCAATTTTATTGGTTTAAAAAATGCATTAAAATTAAAAAAGAAATTACTTTTTTTTGGAAAAGACCGAAAACCGGGTTTTCCCGGGTTTTTCGGGTTTCTTGGGTCGGGTCCGGATCGGTTTTTTTCGGGTCAACCGGGTTTTTCCGGTTTTTGACCATTTTCGGGTTTTGAAGAAACCGAACCGGATTTTTGTCCGGGTCACCGGGTTCCGGGTCAACCCGGCCGGGTCGGTTTTTTAAACATAGGTAATAGTACGAACGTTGATCAATGCAATTCTTGTCGAATGTGGATAGTGGGGTAACAATGTCCCCTTAATTTTGTGTATGTCTTTCTTTTGGTATGATGATTAAATATTTATAAATACAAAAACACACATGAAAGCAAAAATATAATATAAAAAAATCACGGGCATACGACATACCCAGTCAAGCTACCATGTTTTCAAAGGAAATTATCAATCACACACAAAGATCAAATGAGGTAAACAGTGAAAAAGAGATCGAAAGTTTATAGAAAATACGAAGTATATAGCTAGATAACGTTTTTTTAATGAATATCAAATAGTATTGCCTTGAAACGTGAAAGTAGACCATATGTACCCAACACATCCAACATTCCAACCAGATTCAGTTTACTTATGAATGTTCCAAAAAAATCTCATTTTTTACATTAATTAGTACGAAGTATATATAAAATGCATGTGTCCTTCATTGGTTTGTTTGAACAGAAAATGAAGAAGATTAAATTATGTATGGAGATGTGGAAGTAGAGATTAGTTATGAAAGAGTTTCAATATAAATAAAATGAATAATGGCAAATGTTTAGAACCTAAACAGTCGAACAAAAATGATATGGCAACGTTATATGGAGTTTTATGTAATGTATTTAACATTTTTAACATTAATCGTCATCATATCGGACACATAGAGCAAACGTCAACTAGTCTACGATTACCAATCGAATAAGAACCACCCTTAATGTACAAACTAAGAACCTATCCAAACCACACATCTCAATCGTTTGCCTGGTTATTGATCTCATACGCCGCAGGGTATTTTAGTAAAACGAGCGCTTTCTTTCATAACCGTTTCAAACTCTGGTCTTTCGTACGTTTAATGAAACTTCCTTACATACAGTACGTGACAACCGCTGTTCACGTTAACGAAGAATTTGCTGCGATTTCATTTTTTTGATCTCGTATTAAAGGAAGTTAATCTTTCATCTCTCTGCGTCATGCCTAATATGCAGTCATTCTGACAATAATTTCTTCATCCTTTCGTCGCCATCATATAGTTTTCATATGAGTACAATGGAAGCCGGTATGTGTTTTATATTCAAGATGTACTACGTATTCCTTGCTGGTCAAAAAAGTAATCACCTCCTCTGCTATATTTATATGGAGTTATCTTTTTTTATGCGCAGGTGATAAATGTGCTATTCAGATATCACCCGGTTCAACAAGATATTGGATTCCTCCGTGTAATACTCAGAGCAAGCCGAGAATGGGCCAGGTTTTTTCAAATTTGCAGGACGCCATAGATTTTTACACAGAATATGCATCTATTTGTGGATTTAGTCCTCGTCTACACACGTCCAAAAAGCATAAGTCTGGTTGCATCTTATTGAAGTATGTAGTTTGTAGTCGTCAGGGATTTAAACCAGAAAGTAGTACGCCAGGACCATCTGAGAACCATGTAGATTGTGCATCGTTCTCTGTAAGTGCTGAACATAATGCTACCGATGGTGTAAATGAAGTACTATCTTCATCAGACCCATGTAAAAGGGACAGAGTGTCATTCAGAAGTGGATGTAATGCATTGATAGCGTTTAAATTTGTAGGATTTGGGCAGTATGCGGTATACAGATTTGAGGAACGACACACTCATTGCATGAAAGATGAAAGCTCTAAGAAATTTCTTAAAGTTAATAGAAAACTTGATCTTGGGCACCAGAAGTTTTTGATTAATTGTTCTAGAGCTAATATTGGTGCAATGAAATCATATAAATTGTTCAAAGAGTGTGTTGGTGGATATAATAACATTGGAGCTACAGCAGTGGACTTTCAAAATTTCAAAAGGGATTTGAAAGCTTATATTCAAGGCGTGGACGCCCAAATGTTGATCGACAAGCAATTTAGGAAGGTTGAAGTGTGTCCTGCTTATTTTTTTGATTACGATGTTGATGAGACTGATCAACTTACGAGGCTATTCTGGGCTGATCCTATCAGTCGGAAGAATTTTTCATTTTTTGGTGATGTGGTTTCTTTTGATGCGACTTATCGGACCAATAGGTAAATAATTTTTTAAATCACTAGGATTATTATATATGTCACACTATACACGTTTTGAGTCACAATATTTTTTTTATTGTACTTGTGTAGGTACAACATGGTTTTTGTGCCATTCACTGGAGTGGATAACCACAAGAAATGCATCACTTTTGCTGCCGGCCTTTTACTCAAAGAGGATGTATCATCATATGTTTGGCTGTTGACGCGCTTTAGGAAAGCAATGGTAAGACCCCCAACATTATTCATAACCGATCAAGATCCTTCCATGCGTATTGCTATTGAAAGAGTATTTCCGGAGTGCCGTCACAGATATTGCATGTGGCACATCATGTCAAAAGTTACTGAGAAGGTTGGCCCAATTCTAAGTCACAATGATGAGTTCTTAAGTAAGCTTAATGCCGTGGTTTGGACTAATTATCTAGAACCCGATGACTTTGAAGTGAAATGGAAAGAAATGGTAATTGAGTTTTCCCTTGAAAATCACAAATGGTTTTGTGATATGTTTGATTTGAGGAGATTCTGGATTCCAGCGTTTTTCCGAGATTTATTTATGGGTGGTTTGCTTCGAACAACTTCCCGCTCAGAAAGTGAGAATAATTTTTTAGTGAATTCACGAACCCTCATTTTAGTTTGGTTGAGTTTTTCATGCACTTTGAGAGTGCTATGGATGCACAACGTCACAACAATGAAAAACTAAATGATAGTTCTGAAAGTTACATTCCTGTTTACAAAACCCCACTATCGTTGGAGAGGCACGTTGCACAGGTATATACTCTCTCTATTTTTTATGAAGTCCAAGCTGAGATTTGTTCCGCTTGTTTTGGTTGCCGTGTGTTAAGTGTCAATGAAAATGATGGGAACTTAGATTATGTCATTAGTGATGAACACAACATGGTTTTTAAGGTGTCTTTTGTTGTTGGTGATGTCCAAGCAAAATGCAGTTGTAAATATTTTGAACGGATTGGCTTGGTTTGTAGACATCTTTTTGTTGCTCTTAAAGATCTTAAGTTGGACCGCATTCCCCAGCATTTCGTCACTACGCGTTGGTGCAAGAAGGGGCTGAATATTCCGTTTTGTGATATTGGGGATCCTGTGATCGAAAATTGTGTTGGAAAGCAACAAAATGAAGTCAATGTGAATCAACTTTGGGCTGATTTCTACACTTGTGTTGCACTAGCAGAGAAAGATGAGTCCAGGTTTCAAGCTTTTTCAAAGGTAATCAAAGAGCAAAAAAAACTTCTCAGTCTGGAGGATAAAAATGCGATGCCTGCTTCTACAAGAAAGCAGGCTGTTATTGAGTCGTATTATGGGTCTACTGCACCTGTGGAAGTCACTGTTTTCCCTCCAAAACAGGCCAAAAACAAAGGATCAGGGCGGAGGATTAAGGGACCCAAAGAGCTTTCGATTGAAGTAAACAACCGCCCAAAAAGATTGTGTAGGTCGTGTAATGCGTTATGTAACCATGACAGTCGAAATTGCCCTTTGAAAACACAAGATTGAGTGAAATCTTGTATTTCATATTTACATTGTTCTATGCTTTTGCAGTACAATTTTCTTACGTTGATATGAATTACTTATATGGTGTGTTGCACTTTATATTTTTTTAAGGTAGTTGTCGATTACTTGAGGTTACTCTTTTTTTTTTTTACACATTACATACACCTCCAGTGTTTTCATCATTTTTTTTATACTTAATGAAGCTTATATGTTGACCAGCTTTTTTTAACCTTTTTTTTACACATTACATACAGCTTTTTTTTATACTATGGTGTGTTACATTTAACTATAAAGTATCTGTACGAATTCATTAAACTAGTGTTAGTAACAAAAACTATATTTCACACTTTCAAAATCAATTCATAGGTGACTGAAATGCCATAAATACGAATCAATGTGCAGAAACCAAGCATAAACGTGAACATTCAAAATGTATCCAAAATCACACATAACAAAGACTGCTAAAGCAGTGAATTGCAATGCACGTACATAAGTGCATTTCCTAATTTATAAATCATGAATTCAAGTAAATTCTTATTTCTTTTTTTCTTCCATAGCCTTTTTCTGCTCCTTTTTTTCCCGTGCATACTCGCGCGCTTTTTCAAGATTCTGTCTCTTCATTTCGTTCATCTCTGCACATAGAATTGATGCAACGTACTTCACTCTTAATATCCCTAGCTGCTTCCTGTCTGACTTTCGCAAACCGCAGTCCCAACCTTGTAGTCCTTCACCTTTGTATGTCTCCATGTGTCTCATGCAAAAGATTCCATAATCAGATTCATTATTTGAATCCCGCCATTTCATTACCAGCCTGTTTGGCTTCACTTTTTGCAACCTGCTGGCTTTGCCTGTAAGGCCCTTCGCTTGCAGGTAAGTGACCATCATATTCGCCTGCAATAAATTTCAAAATAATTTGTCATTCTTTATTTAATTAATTCAAAAAAAATGTTTTTCTAACAAGCCAAACACTTACAATTGTGTCTGGTACATTTCCGTATCTAAGTGTATTTGATCCTCTTGCAGATGAGCTGTCTAGTATGTCAATTCTTCTCCTCTTAATGTTGAAACATATCACATATGCATGATTCGTCTGCATTATTGGCACGAAAATCTGCACAAAACATACTTGGTTAACATGTTTCGCCACACATTTAAACAAAACGATATACACACACACTACCAGATCAACATTGTCCAAAACAGCAAAATCTTTTGTTGATTCCAAGGCCAGATCCATGCCTAGCTGAAATAGGTCACACTGTTGGTCTGGAGTTAACTTCAACTCCTTTTGTGTGTGTACCTGTGTAGTAGATAAATTACCGATGATGTTATATCATGTTTCAAACATATTTAAAATACACACATATATCTATGTAACTTACACAGGGATATGTGCTGATATACAGTCGGCATGGTGACTCACTACTCTTGTACTTCTCTTTGCTGTTAAGAATCTTTCCCCACACATCTAAAATAATACTGTCAACTGGGGAGTTTTCACGTAAAGAACCAAAACAAGACCTTGGCAGTTCAAACTCTCCAGACTTGAACAAAATTTCATCCCTATACAAAAGTATTTATTTAATAATCATTTGCACCTTTACATGAAATGTAGTCACGAATTTAAAATTTCTTTCATTTAAAGTACTTACATGTTAGCATTTTCATTCAACAACAACCACCCCCCTAAAGCCCTTTCCAAAATCGACCATGATTCATTTGGATCAACTGCTCTTGTTAGGAATGGTGATTTTCGTACATCTGCTGCCTTTTGTGTCCTTTTAATGCGTTCCTCTCTTTCATCGTCCAACTTCTCCTTTCCCTGAGAAGTAGTCACATGACATAACTTAAACATTTTTAAAACTAAAATCAGCTCGTACCTTTGTCTTTGCTGCACATTGCACTCCAGACTCATTAACATGCTCAATGCATCCTTCATCCACCTCATCAGAACCCTGTGAACAAAATTGTGCACTGACGTATTAAATAGCACATTTCATGTATTAGAGTAATTAAGTTAAATATAACATGATATTAACTTTCGATCCTTGTGCTTTTTCATTCACAACTGCACCGTTCACACCAGCTTCATGCGAAAATAACAACAATAATTAACACTTGTGTACATTAAAAAACAAAATCTAAAACTCCTAATAATTTTTTACAATAACAAAAATTATTCAACTCACTTGTTCCATTGATGCTTTCTCTTGCACGTGAGCTGCAATTCCATCACCTCTCCCTCCCAAATCAGAGTGGTCATTCCCCTCATGTGGTTGTGTCAATCCAATGCTGAAGCTTGGAATGTCTTTCATGTGCATATTTTTCCTAGTCCTCCTTATTTCTGCTATTTCAGCTCTTTCTAATGCACTAATATTGTTAGGATCCGACCAAAACGCTTCATCAGAATCATCATCACTATTTTCACCAATTGGAGTCATGTGTTCGTCCAAAGAATAAACTTCAGCTAGGCTAACTATTTTTTTGGCTGCTTCAACAATTATTTTGAAATTCTCATTCTCCACCAGTGTGTTTGGTGCACCTTGGACCAAACTGATTATATCAATGGTAAGTGAAGCAAAGTTGTTGGTGTTTTCAGCCAGTTTTGCTACCAAATCCTACATTTATTTAACAGTATTATTTTGCATTAACCATTACTTCATTTTATCGTCCAAAGATTTATTACATTTATAACATACCTCTGCTACTAATTTGCTCGTTGACGCTTCAGCAGCCTCTTTGTTCATCACATCCCCACATTCCTGATGTAGCACATTGCTTAACATCACATTATTGCAATTTGGAAGGGGTTTCATTGGCTTCACATCAATATAACCTTGTCCAAAACCTCCAGCCTTTACTTCAGCATTTTCTCTTTCTCTCAGCAACTTTGTTGTCCAATTAAGAATTGTTGGAATCTGTCGGGGTAGAGTTGTTCTTTTAAAAAGAACAACTCTGTCCACATAAAACCCCTGCACATGTACATTTTTAAAACATTAAATTAATTTTATTTATTACACATACCAAGACAACTACTACTTATTACTAAAATTACCATTAAAAATAACATTGGGCCGGTGAATCGCTTTTGCTTCTTCTGATCCCATGCTTCTTTACTTTCAATCAAAGTTGACATCACATACTCGCACCAATTTAGCTTCTTTATTCCCTCCAAGTCTTCCAAATTATTAATTATTTGATAGTTCACATACCCATTCGCATTACTCTCTAGTAGTACTGAAACGAGTAAAATCAAAAAGTGTCTACAGAACCATATCCCTCCCTCGTCACACGCCAACATAGCAGCACATACATCACTTGGTGTAATTTGATTTTCATTCTTCGAAAATATCTTCCTCCATTCTTCAAGCAATTCACATTTCCCTTTCCTACTCTTTTTTACTATGAGGTTATGCCCCCTAGGAAAACTCAGTACATCTTCCACATCATCCTCACTTATGTGCACATTAGCGCTCTGTGAAAGTGTGAGTGTGCAGTTCCTTGGATTGAAAGCTTGAAGCACAAAAAAAGCTAACTTTGAGGGCAACTCGTTTATCCTTAGTTTCAGCATACTTCCAAACCCAATCTTGGCAACCTCCTCCTTTTGTTTTTCATTCATCTGTTTTATCGCTTGCACAAGAACATGTGGATATGACCTTGTATTCAATGGTTGGTACGCTTCTTTCATTAACCTGATCTGGCCCTTTCTCCTCTTTTTAACAAGTCCACTGCCTTGACCCTTGGTCACCACTTCAACATCTTCAAAATCATCATCACTATTGCATCTCTCTTGAGCCAAAATATCCTCACTATTAGCACTTTCCTCAACAAGTACATCTTGGACCTTTGGCATCTTGTCCCGTGCACTTATACCAGACATCTTCCTTTTCCTTAGACTAAGGCGTCTTCCTGTTGCATTTTTTATGCACAATCAAAATTATTGTATGCACAATTAAAAAAATTAAACCTTTTTTGTTAAATGTTTTTTTTAACATGATCACCTTTTCTAAACCAGTTTTATTTACAATGAAAATCAATGCTTCGTTCCTATTCTTTCTACTCACAATAAAAACACTTGAAAAAATATCCACATTTACCTTTGAGTCTTTTGCTACCACCACACTGATCCTCTTTTTCTTCAAATTCCTGTCTTTTAAGAAGCATTGTTTTTTTCCTTTGCTGCTCACTCATAATGTCAGCACCGCTTACTCCAATGCTACAACCTGCATTTATAAGTCACAATATCACATTGTCATGCACAAACAACATACTCTACTACAAATTTATGTTCCACTCCTCTCTCTGCACTTTATCTATTTTCCCTACACAATTAAACCATTCACGCAATAGTACAGGTCTTATTGAAACAAAGATGATTAGTTTGATGCTCTAAATATTATATGTTGCACAATCAGCTCTTATATGTACACTACTATGTGTGAATGATGCCACTTTGTTATGCACAATCACAATATCACATTGTTATGCACAAACAACATACTCTACTGCAAATTTACGCTCCACTCCTCCTGTATGCACTTTATCAATGTTCCCTACACAATTAACCCATTCACGCAACACTACACGTCTTATCAAACAAAGACGATTAATTTGATGCTCTAGATACTACATGTTGCACAATCAGCTCTTATATGTACACTACTATGGGTGAAATTTGCCACTTTGTTATGCACAATCACTATATGACATTGTTATGCACAAACAACACACTATACTACAAACTTATGCTCCACTCCTCTCTCTGCACTTTATCAAATTTCCTTACACAATTAACCAATTCACGCAACACTACAGGTCTTATCAAACAAAGATGATTAGTTTGATGCTCTAAATATTATATGTTGCACAATCAGCTCTTATATGTACACTACTATGTCCGAAAGTTGCCACTTTGTTCCCATTTTCAAAGCAACATACAATTCACACTATCACATTCTTATACAAAAACGTCATCCTTTTGTAAAACATTTTTCTAAAAACCTAACAACTATACACCACTTCACAAATCGTGCCATCCCAATGCCAACACTGAACTCTTTTATGTCTTTTCTGGACAGATTATTACATGCATGGTAGTTTTCATTTACACTACAATGAAATACGATTCTCTCAAATTTGGTTAACAATTACAGACGATTCAAATTACCTTCATCCGCTACCATTGTGCCATCCTGCACTGCTGCATGCTCACCTTCTCTTCTATTCCGCACCTTGTCTTGTTCTTCATGCAAAGAACTCATCTTCTCTCGTTCAGTACTACACTTTCGAATACTGATTTTACTCCGCTCTTGGTATTTACGGATACTGATTTCTTTCCTTCTAAAGCTGACTTCGAATTGGTAACTGCCAATGGTGGCGTAAATTTAGCGTTTTTTGGGGAAGTGGGCGCCGAGTAGCACTCTAATCGGAGAGCATTTAAATCATATTCATTTACAATGGTGCCCTTTAAGCGACTTCATCCGCCTATTTCATTTAATCGGGCATTTATAGTCTGCCCTGACACTCATCGTAATACCCTGCACATCATGAAATCTGACCGTCTCTTTACTTGATTTAGTGGTCACGATCGGTTCTCAGTTCTTATTATTAGAGTGGTTCTTATTAGAATGGTTCCCACTAGTCTACAACCCATATATATGCAGGTTATGATATGGATTAAATGTAGTAATTAAATGTTGAACACACTGTTGTGCCAAACACATCACATCGGTTTCGTGATCACGAGAAACAAACATACTTAGAAATAATTGTAATGATAATGTTATGGTAACTATATGGTACTTGTATAATAATGGTTAATGACATAATAAATTGCACTGTAATAGCCATATGATACGAAGTATTATTTGTTAACATTATCATTATATTTAACATGTAAATGAGTGTAAAGAGTATAAATGTGACACAAAATTATAATTAAGGAATAGATAGTTACGAATCATAATTAATAATTATTATAATAAGCTTAGTTTTCACAGTCTATGTACACATTTTGAAACACTTTCTTGTAAATAACGTTGGTAGCATGGTCGATTTGTTCGTCATCTTCACTGTAAATCAATATTTTCAAACCGATTGAGAAATAAGATAATTAGACAAAACGTGGGAGTAACACATGTTGAAGATAAAATGTGGGAGCCTCAAATATTTCTCAATTACTTTGTTTTATTCAAACTGAAGTAAGAAAAAGAGTGAACAAAAAGAT